CTATCTATATTTCAAAACATGGTGCAAGTTGTACACAACTTCACGATACTTCATTCAAAATATCCAAGCTTTCACAGATTGTCTGAATCCTACATAGTATCTGATTGTCACTAATAATGTGAGTTTTATCTTTAGATGGGCCCAATATGCAGTCCATAGTTGCCACCCTAATAGTGTATATGGTAGAGCTCAGGAAAATAGTTTCTTTCAGCTGAAGACCATGAATAACTATGGTCATCATGGCAGATACAGAGATCCCACAAACAATGAGAGGACGACATTAAAACCTCTAGACTGATGAAGGCTCTGGGTGGCACTAATGGGAATTCCTATTGTATTACTATTTAAGGCACATTGTAGCACTTTTTGCTGTTGGATGGCCCACCCTTAGGGGAATTATTGGTGGTTAACAGCATAAAGGATGGAAATAAAATCTGTAAATGAGGAATGTATTGCCTCTGAGATGCAAGTAAACCGTGTGGAGCCCTTGGATCATCCCTGGGCTGTCTAGTAGTTTTTCTGACATGGTCAGGGACCTCAATTTTATGGGAAGCAATTACTAAATCTCAATAGAAAAGTTCTATGGCATGTGTTTATATATGCCATGCAAGTATATCCTTGGAATTTCCTCACATAAGGACGCTGTCAGTGTAATAAGAGACATGTCTTCCTAGAAAGGTTGGATGTGATTAAGATGTGCCTGTATCAAATTGTAATAGCAAACTGTTTTCCAGTTGTAGTAATTCTATGTAGTAATTCTATAGTGGAAATCCACTATAAAATACCATTCACTTATATCAGGTTTGAGTTCTGGACACCTGGCTTGTTAAAAGATAAACAACAGGAACATTATCAAGGCCAGGCGTACCCATTCCCAGGAGTTTCACTCCACAGCTCTCAACTTATCCACAAACCTCGTAGTTAAGTCATATTCTCTTGTGGAATCCTTATATCATGGTCTCTGGAGCCTCTCTTCTCAGCCATATGTTTACAATTTGTTCTCAAAATTGTCAACAACTGAGGTTCATTATCACATTTTGAATTTGAGTCTACAGGGCATCTTTAGCTTCTACAGGAAATTGATCCCCAAGTGTCTGCTTTAAAAAGAGCAGATAAAACTCTGTCACTCTTGGTAATGGAAACTGCAAAGAAGCCCTTTGCCTGCCTTCTTACACATAAAAACTCTTAGGACAGAAATACAAGAAATTCTGATTCTCTCAAATTCTTCCAATTCTATAACTCTTGGCAAAAGTGTTGCTTTTATATCACTATTTTATTTATTTATTTATTTATTTGTTTGTTTGTTTATTTATTTATTTATTTATTTTAGTGCTTGGGATTGAATCCAGGACCTTGCTTTTGTTATTTCTACACTTGTAAAAACTGTGTCAGAAACTGTCATTTGATTCTGGCATGTATTTTTGGAATAGAAGAAAATATTCTTCTCCAGTTCAGCCCCACACCTTGGATACTTGTATTAAGAGGA